GGCCAGAGCCGAATGTCAGATTCATTCTTAACACACACTTCAGGATGATGATGCTTCATCTCATTTATTTTGGACAGTCTTCAGGAAAGCTCAGTCTCTAGAGAAAGATATCATGTCTGGTGGAGTAAGGGATTAGCAAAAATGGGAGAACCCCTCAATGAGATGGATTGTTGCAATAGCTTCAACAATTAGCTCAAGCTTATCACAGATTCATGAAGATGGTTCAGAACCAGACCGTGTTTCCTGCTATTGTACATAAGCGCATCAGGAGTTGACAGCAATTAGTGCCATTGTTATTATTTTTTTTAATAATAACATTGTGCTTTTGGTGAAAGTATACACAGCAAATTAGGTTCCCCTTCTAGTGATAATTTTCACAATTAGGTAAACTTTTCAACATTCTCATTCATTGTTTTCTGGTTGTTCCATTTCCAGTACTCTAGTTTCCCTGCCTCCATATCTTCTCTTTGCTTTGGATTAAATGTTAACCTTTTGGACTCATACAGCACTGACCTATAGTAGGTAGTATCTTTGATTTTGTGTACCAATCTGCTTTTCTGTTAGAAGATGATCTTAGGGCGGGGAGAGTTTTGGTTCAGGTGCTTAAGGAGCACCTCAGAGTGACAGTCTCAGGGGGTCCTCCGGTCTCAGAGGTCCAGTTAGTCTGGCCACTTGTAAGAATTTGAGTTTCCTTCTGTATTTTGCTCCTAATCAGGGTCAGCCATTGTGCCCCAAGTCAGATGGGTCCAGTGGTGATAGCTAGGCACCATCTAGTTCGTCCTATCTCAGAGAAACAACATTGTTCTTTAAGTGATTACCATTTTAAAATGATTACTAAGGGATTGCTGTAACGGGGAATGCCCCTGGCTCTGAATCCAGACTCTGGCAAGCATCCGTCTCCCTTCCCCCTGTGCGCCCTTCCCCCAAGGCAGAACCCACCAACCACTGACTGCTCTCTAATTGCAGATCAAGTCTTGCTACTACCTGCCTTGTTTCGTGACCTCCAAGAACGAGTGTCTGTGGACCGACATGCTCTCCAACTTCGGCTACCCCGGCTACCAGTCCAAACATTATGCCTGCATCCGACAGAAGGGTGGTTACTGCAGCTGGTACCGAGGATGGGCCCCCCCGGACAAAAGCATTATCAATGCCACAGACCCCTGAACTCCAGACCCTGCCCCACCTCACCTCCCTCCCTCCCACTGAACTTCCCTCGGACACTAACTCTTCCCAAATGATGATGACAATGAAATCAGTGCCTGTTTTCTTGCAAATTTAGCACTTGGAACACTTAAAGAAAATTCTACATTGTCACATGGAGTTTATTTGGAATCACTCTCCTGGTTCACCCCTTCTTTTTGGTCTGGGCATCACCCATTTCTACCTGGGAATTGTTGGTACCATTCCAGAAAGAATGAGGGATGCAAAATTCCTCTTCCTTGTGAAAATATAATCTATATTTTTTTAGGAAAATGAACATGGAAAAACTACCCCATTTGGGCATTGTACTACCTGCCCCTCTTTCTTCTTCCCACCTCCCCATCTCCCAGCCTTTCCTCTGTCCCTGTACATAAGGACTCAGACAAGGAAGTTGCAAAAAGCCAGCTGTTTCAGGATAAGTCAAGGGCTGCAAGCAAACAGACTGAAGGCACGTGGAGGATTTTATACACTGAGGAGATGCTACTGCATGCCCCACCCAGACTGTGTCTGTCTGTGTCTACAGACAGGCCAGCAGGAGGGGAAGAAGAGACTGCAGGAGAGGGTGATGCTGGGTACACACAACTCTCCCAGCCCAGAGATGCTCAGATTGACTAGATTATATATAGGCTCAGGGGTCCCATGTTTCTGAGTCGGGGGTAAGCAGCCATGGCAGGATAACAGAACTCACTTAGCTGAATGAAGTCTGAAAGATCTGCTGGAGGTCAGGAGGCAATTTGCCTGCCTTGTGCAAAAAAAACCTCTTACAGTCCCCTGGATGGTACAGATGGTTAAGCGCCCAACTACTAATCAAAGGGTTGGTGGTTCAAAACCACCTAGAGGCACCTCTGGAAGCAAGGCCCAACAATGCTCCCAAAGGTCACAGACGTGAAGGCCCTATGGAGCGCAGTTCTACTGTACACACAGGGGTCTTCATGGCTCAGCAGTGGCTGGACAGTGCCTTGTGTTCCAGTGCTCAGGGGAAGGATTGAAATGAATGTCTCTCTTCTCCCAGCCTCCGCATGACTTGTTCCTGGACAAAGTTTTGGTTGATTTGGCAGAAAGCTTGGCCTTTATGTAAATTGGAGAAATACACATACCAGACACTATCCACAGATATAGCCAAGTAGATTTGGGTAGAGAATACCCTTTCCAAAGTAGCCTTTAGCTCACCTATGGGATGTGTTTGTATACACATTTGCATATACCCACACTGGGACATAAGCTAATTTTTTTTTTACAGGACACAGAATTCTGTTCAATGCTGTTAAATATGCCAATAGCTTCTTCTCTTCTCTTTTGTTGTCATTGCTTGTTTGAAGAAAATCATGACATTCCAAGTTGACTACCCCCCCTCCCCCAATTGTAGTTAAGATTTGAAATTCCACATACCCTCAGTCAGCCCTCCTTTCCCCATAACTGGGGTCATCTGCCTTCTGACCCTCATGTTCATTTAACTGCCTTTCTGGGTTGGCTCAGATGGGAGATGCCTGGGGTGGGGTGGGGGCCTGGACAACAGGAGGAAAAGCTGAAGAGTGTCCCATGCTGGCTAGATGAGCACCCCTCCCAGGCTCTGGGGACAGCTACCCTTCACCTTACTCACTGAGGGTCTCACCTAGTGGATCATGCTCAGTGCTTACTGAGGAAGCCCAATGCTGCAATTGCTGTAGGGTTTCCATTGTGTTTTTGTTGTTTTGGGACATAAAGCTATAATATAAATTCTCCTATTAAGTAAAATTATTTTAAGCCTTAGTGTCAAAGGTGAGATGCCAAGAGTAGACAATGATGCATATTAGACAAAGTTGGGCATGGTAGGATGGTGGCACAAAACATGTGGGCGCTCTCTCTTTAAGATTATGGGTATGTATCTGATCCTATTCATGTTTCTATCTTCAGTTCATTCCACCCTAAGAAACAGAGCTGCCAATCAAAACAGGAGGAAAAAAGTCGACATCCTATTGTAATATCTTCACACACACACACACACAAATGCCCAGGCACGGCGGTTGGCAGAATCCCAGAGGCAGACAGCAGTTTAAGCTTGGGTTTCCTTGGGATTGATTTCATTACATTGTAATTTTCACCTTGCGGTAGTGGCATTTGCTGGAGGGAGAATGGAAGACATGACCCTCTCCACGGGGCAGTTTGAGTGGATGGAGCTGAGGTCAGTTTGGAAGCTGTGTGCCTAGACTTGGTGTTTGGGGATCACCTTTCTCTCAACTTCAAAAGGCTCTTGAAATAGAGTCCCTGACCCAACCCGCACAAGTGTCCTTCACAAGCATCTCCTCTCTGCGCCCTTTGGCCATTCTTGGTTCCTGGAAGGGAGGGTCCTCATCTCTCACACAGCGGGGAGACTTGGGATGTCCCTGCGGAGCAGCAAAGTCAGTGGAACCACAGTCCCATCTCCCAGGCCTGGCGAGGAGAAGAGCGGGTCCCCGGGCGAAGCAGGGCCCTTTGTAGAGTGATGACTTACATCACAGGGCGGTTTTGGAGCTTTCTGTAAGCGATAGCTTTGTTTATTTCACCTGTTCACTTACTGTATAATTTAAAATCATTTATGTAGCTGAGACACTTCTGTATTTCAATCATATCATGGATGTTTTATTTTGCTAAATCTTGTGTCATATGTAGGCTGTAATATGTGTACATTGTGTTTAAAAGAAAAAAAAAAAAATTAAACCCACATGCCGCGATTTTCCTGAGTCAAATTCTACAGCGGAATGGAAGATGATATACTTCTATGTGCAGGCAGCTTGACTGGCAAATTGGGGGACCCAGCAACCAGACTCCCCAAGGCTCCTCCCTAGAGAACTTGCAGTGGCTTTCCAGCACGAAGGAGAAAGGAACTAGGAAGTATATTCATGTCCTTGTCCTGAGGCAACGGACCCTGGGCAGTCTGCTGGCCACTCCCATTCTTTCTCCCAGCCCCAATGGGGAAGCCATGATTTCTCCTAAAATCCAAGGAGAATCAGGAGAGCTGATTCCAAGATTGCTGGTCATCTCTTCTGCCTCCCTGTGCCCAAGCACTCACCCCAGTATAGAGCTCCGACTAGGATGGGTCACTCTGGGAGACTCTTAATTTATCATGGCCATTTTCCATACCGGCTCTTGAGCAAAAACCAAGTGGATCTCTTATTGGATTAGCTGTGTCTTAGAGATACAGAGGCCCCTAAAAGATGCCTCTCTCTTTAGCTCCAGGCCTTCCCTTTATTGTGACTGTCACCGATGTGGATGGTACCCAAGTGTTTGGTACTTAGTTACCTAAAGTAAAATGATCATTGGAGTTTTCCACCTGAGAGAACTACTTTAAATTCTGTTGGTAAACACAAAACAAAACGGGCCGTGTATATGGGGAAGGTGGCTAGCAATCGCTTTCACATTGGCCTCTTGTGGGTGCTGGGAGAATTTAGAGAATAAACCATGCTTGGAGGGTCTGAGCTGCCTTGATTCTCCCTCTGTGAGCCCTTCCCAGCCTCTCCCTTTGGCCAGTCTGCTGTCCTGACCCTCAGAAGTGATGGAGAGAAATCAGCCAGAGGAAACCCTGTCTGGAAGGGATGTATTTGTCGCGAAATTTTGTAGCACTGTTTACAGTTTTCCTCCATGTTATTTATGAATTTTGTATTCCGTGAATGTATTTGTCTTGTAATGTTGCATAATGTCCACTTTTTATAGTGTGTCCTTTATTCTAAACAGTAAAGTGGTTTTATTTCTATCACACACCTGCTGTCTTGTGCCTTGTTGTGTCCTGAAGGCTGCTGGGGGTGTGTAGACAGCAGAGAGCCTGGCCTGCCTGCTCAAAGTGCAGGCCTGTGCATGCGTCTTCCCTGACGCCCCCTAGAGGTCAAGCCAAGCAACTCCCACCATGCTCCAGCCATTCCCAGGGCAGAAGGAATTTCAGAAGCGCCACATTTCCTCCTGGCTGCTAATCCTACTGTGACCTTGCTCTCTGGATTCCGAAGTCAGGGTTCTCCCTGGATGCATGGAATCTGGATCTGCAACATCCCTGGGAGGTGCAAATGGTTAGTATACTCAGTTGCTAACTGTCAGGTGAGTGGTTTGAGTTAGTCCAGAGGCCCTTGGGAAAAAGGCCTGAGGATCTACCCTGGAAAATTCAGCCATAGAAAACCCTAGAGAGTGAAGTTCTACTCCGATGCACGTGGCATCCCCAGGAGTCAAACCTGACCTGGTAATGGCAACTAGTTAACTGGTGATCTAGTTGTCTGGCAGTGGTTTGACAGGCATTCATAAAATGGGAACCTGACTCACTCTTGCTCATCCTCCCTTTCCCCCCAAATCCCAACTGGTTGGAGGTGGGAAGGAGGCCTACAGATAGCAGTCCTCAATGCCAATTGCTAAGTGACATCGAGTCACTTCTGATGCTCTGATGCATACAGGCCCAGTATAGGGTTTCCAAGGAGCGGCTGGTAGGTTTGAACCACCGAACTTGCAGTTAGCAGTCCAGTACTTATCCTATAGCGCCACACCAGGTCTCCTCAATGCCAGTTGTTGTTGAGTGCTGTAGAGTCGATTCCGACCCATAGCGACCTTGTATAGGGTTTCCAAGGAGCAGCTTGTAAGCTTGAACCGCTGACCTTGAAGTTCAAACGGCTTTGTAGTCTGGCGCATTAACCCACAGTGCCACACCAGGACTCCTCAATGCCAGTAGCTGACTTGAAATTTGAAGTTCAACTTGATCTGATTAGGAATGCCAGGAAATCAAGAAGTCCCATTACAGTTGGTGATTCCTTCCCAGAGCTCACAGCTGGGGACCCCTAGTCCAGCTCTCATCCCACTGTTGACTATTTTCCGAGATAAAGTTTTGACTCCCATTTTAAAGCTAGTGGTTAATGTGCTAGACTGCAAGGTCAGATTGAACCACAAGGTTGGTAGTTCAAGCTCACCAGCCACTCCTCAGAAACTATACAGGGTCATTATGAGTTGGAACTGACTCGATGGTACTTAGTAACAATACTCTGTGCAAGGATTCCTAGTGGCGCAATGGTTAAGTAGTCAGTTACTAACCAAAAAGTTAGTGGTTCAAACTCACCCATCAGCTCCCTGGGAGGAAGACCAGGCAATCTACTTCTGTAAACATGACCAAACCCAAACCCATGATTCCAAATCATAGACAAAAGGGCTTCCAAGGCTGTCTTTTGTAAGGATGCAACCGCCACATCTTTGTCCTGTAAAGCAGCTGGTGGGTTTGAACAGCTAACCTTTCAGTTAACAGCTGAATGCTTAACCAGTGTGCCATCAGGGCACCTCTGTAAAGAGTACGTCCGAGGAGACCCTGTGGGACCAGGTCTGCTCTGTCACATGGGGTCACTATGAGTCAAAAATCCATTCGTCACCTAGCAACAAGAACACATTTTGAGCATCTATCATGTGCCAGGCATAGTGTTTTATATACACCATCATGTACATCTCAACAACCTGAGGAGGTGGTTCTACTACACCTACAGCTTCCAATGAGGAAGAGGGTCATTGTAGGCCTGGGACCACCAGCACCACCACCTGCCCTGGTGTCTACGCCGACTCAGAGCAGAATTGGGCTCCACAGGACTTTCAGTGATTGTGCTTCTCGAAGTTGGTCACCAGGCCTTTCTTCTGAGGTACTTCTGGGTGGGTTCGAACCTCACATCTTTCACTTAACAGCAGAGAACATTAACCGTTGGAACCACCAAGGCACTTCCATTGCCCCAGGTGGCAGACACCTAATAAACACATAGACCTGGGATTCTAAGCCAGCCCAGTTTGATGATAAATCCTGCATTCTTTCTTCTGTGTTTACCCTTTACCAGAACAGGTTGTACGTGCCCCTCGTATCCACACCAGCACATCTGGGTTCCCGGGACCCAGTGCACCTGGTATACAGGAAAATTAACCAGTAAACATCGCTCTGCCTGTTCCCCGTGCTCCCACCACAGTCTGAAGTCCTGTTCCCTCGATAGGATTATCCTGCTCTGCAGCTGGAGTCTGGGGCTCCATGGCCCCAAGTTGGGACTATAGGGCACTCTATTGACTACCTTGTTCCCCGAGACTCATATTTCCCATAAGGCCAAGCAAGAGCCACAGTCCTGCATTCTTTTGACCAGTTTAAGAAGATTACTAACCACATACACAGGCAGACCACGAGAGGCATCCAGAGCTCCCCCCACCCACACAAGGTGTCCCTCCCTGCTGCAGGTCAGGCAGCTCTAGACCCCATTCCAACAGATGTGAACTTCTTCCATCCAAACTGTACCACGCACTCAAGCTCGAGAGTCAAGCTGAAACCGTTTCATAGAGACGACCTCAAGGTCCTCCAAATCAGAACACGAAGAGGACATACAAGCAAACTGCCTCTGAGAATCCATGCAGCTCAACTATGACTGATTTCCACGGAATCAAAGTCAAAACCAGGGCCTGCACACGGCTCAAGAGAAACTACATCCCACCTCTGAAACAGCTTTTCTCTTCCCTCTCAGCCTCCGGTTTCAATATCCAGGGACTGCCCCTGCCAATTCAGTTTGTCCTCTGATTTGCCAAACTTTCCCCTAGCTTCAAGGAAAGCTGTCTATCTTACTCATTTGCACAACTAGCTGGAATTTCACCTGGAGGGAGAAGAGCCCAGCTCCCCACAGGACATCACCACCCTTCCTTAGCTCTTGACCCCACCTCCTCCATCCACAGGAACCGAGGACATTCTCGTTTCTGTTCACACACTCCTTGCAAAAACAAGCAGAATAAAACCAGTGCACTCACCATTGGCTTGTGGTTGGGGAAAAATGTTTGCTCCACAAGCGGGAACTTCTCAGGGCCCAGGGAATGGAAGATCTTGATCAGCTGAGAGAACTAGGAGAGAAGAGGAGAGGACACTGGTCAGTCATCGCTGTCCAGTACGGTGAAAGCTCCCACCCCATCCCAGGCCTCTAGCGTCTGGCTGCTCTGAGTCCTTCTGGATGAAGCCTGAATGAAGCCTGAAAGTCAGAACCTTTGGCTGAATGTTTACGTTCTCCATCATCAAGCTAGACCCACTGATTTCAACTCAGCTGCATTCAGTGACCAGTTATGATGTCCTCAACATTTAACGCAAGATGCTTGTCCACAGGTAGACCCACTGACCCCTGGACTGTGCCCCCTGCCCTACAAAGCTCTTCTTCCTAGAGAAGCTGTAATTTCATATCTTAGGTCTGGGTACAGACTCTGGATCCAGTCTTCCTGTTGTTGTTGTGAAGTGCCATTGAGTTGGTTCCGACCCATAGCGACCCTGTTGTATAGGGTTTCCAAGGAGCAGCTGGTGAGCTTGAAGCACCAAACTTGCAGTTCAAACGGCTTTTCAGTCTGGTACATTAACCCACAGCGCCCTTGGGTGCAAATGTCCTCTTTGCCACGTGCTCTCTGTGCAACCCTGGGAAGTCATTTCCTGGTTGAGTCTGTTTCTTCATCGGTAAATTGGACATGTTATGAGGTCCAACCTCATAGTATTGCTGTAAAGACTGAGCAGATGTGCAATGCCTGGTTAACAGAAGCACTCATATGGTAGCTATTATTATTATAATAAACGTTTTCTCTGCTTTTACAACCCTCACCCCCCAATCCCCAAACCCTTTAGGAAGCTGACTTGGGCTAAAAGTGCTCCCTTGGTTGAGCACAACCTTCATTTTGTCAGTTCCCCCTGAAGGGTGCAACTGGTTAATGCGCCGGACTGTTGATTGAAAGGCGGGAGGTTGAATCTACACAGAGGCACCTCAGAAGAAAGGTCTGGCAATCTCAATTCCTACAGTTTAGCTATTGAAAACCCTATGGAACACAGTCCTCCTCTGACACCCACAGAGTCAACTTGCAAGCAATTGGTTTTAGCTTCATTTTGTTTTGCTACCCTTGTTATTGTTGTTGGGAACCAATGAGTCAATCCCAACTCATAGTGACCCTATGTGACAGAAGTAGAACTGCCTCATGGGGTTTTCAAGGAGAGCAGTTCTGGAATTAAAAACATGGGTTTTGAAGAGGTCCAGCTCTCCTACTTACCTACTTGCCAAGTGAGGCCAGCCTCACTTTCCCCATCTGCATAAAGTGGCGTGGTGGGTTACTGTGCTGGACTGCAAAGTTGGTTTGAACCACAAGGTTGATGGTTCAAGCTCACCAGTCATTTCCTGGAAACCCTATACAGGGTTGCTATGGGTCAGAACCGACTTGACGGCACTTTAATAATTCCTCAAGCAAGTGCTGAACATTCCATAAAGCATGACTGCTGAGGACTCGGCGGAGCTTGCAGTGTTAATAAATGGTAGCTGCTACCATCACTAGGAACCCTGGTTGCACCATGCCTAAAGCACTCAGCCACAAATCAGAGTTGGTAGTTTGAACCCACCAGCCATTCATTCATCAGGAGAAAAACGTGGCAGTGTGCTTCTCTAAAGGTGCCAGCTTTGGAAACCCTATGGAATCAACTCATTGGTGATGGGCTGGCTTTGGGTTTACTTTTGGAAACAAAAGGGACGGGCTAGTACTATCTAGGAGACCTGGTGTGGCACTGTAGGATAAGTACTAGACCGAAAGGTCTGCTTGAACCGCAAGATTGGTGGTTCAAACTCACTAGTCACTCTTCAGAGACCCTCTATGGGATTGCTGTGAGTCAGAACCGACCCGACGACATTTGACAACAACAACAGTGCTAAGACCCTTTTCAGACAGTGACATTTGAAGCTCAGATGGCATCAGTTAAAACAGACTGAGGAGACCAGAACCACGCTCATTGTTGTTAGGTGCCATCAAGTTGGTTTGGACTCAAAGCAACCCTAGGTACAACAGAACAAAATACCATCTGGTCCTGCACCAGCCTTACAATTATAGTACATCTGAGTCCACTGCTGCTGCCCCTGTGCCCATCCAGCCTGTTGAGGGTCTTCCTCTTGTTCACAGACCCTCCAGTTTACCAAGCATGATGTCCTTCTCCAGGGACTGGTCCCTCCTGACAACATGTTCATAGTATGACAGCCAAGGTAACAACGGTAGAAAACACTTCATATCTATCGATAAAGCGTGTGTTTTCATGCAGTGACTATTAAGTGTGAACTGGGCATATGCCTTGCTCCTGGCACGGGACCAACCACACTGTCACCATTTACCGAGTATGTACTTGGTGCCACCATCGTTCTCAGCCACTTTGTTCAGCAAAAAAAAAAACAAAAAAACAAAAAAAAACCCAGGTAGGTTTTATTATTACCACCACTTTACAAATAAGGAAACCAAGCTAAGAGAAGTTAAACTGCTTGCTCAAGGCTGCACAGCTTGTAAATGAAGAAGCCTGAACCTATGTAGCCTGGTTCCAGAACCCATGCTCTTAATGGTGGTCACACAGAGAGACAGTAAAACATGGCAGATGAAATCTCTATGTGGCATCATAGAATTTACCTTCAACCCACATCAACCTCTGCATTTACTTCCCCCTTTCCCACTTAATTTTCCCCTTGGAATAATACAGTATCATCATATCATCACATTAAATAACACATATCTGTCACATTAATTAATATACTGCATATGTTCCTGCTCACTAGAATGTAAGACCCATGGGGGAAGGCATGTTGGTCTGTTTTGTTCCCAGGATCTGGCACCAGACCTGGACCATAGATGATGCTCAATAAGTATTTGCTGCATAAATGAATTACTCAAGGGGTGGGGGAGGGACAATAAATCAAGCAGGGGAAGGGATTTGAGAGTATTTAGGAAAAAATTTAAACAGAGACTCAAATAAATCAGATGGATATATGGGACTGATGAATCTCAGAGAGGTAATCACTCTTGGGGGCTGGAGAGTGATGAGTTGGGATTCTGGTTCCACCACTCATTGATTATGGGACCCTAAGATGGGGTAACGATGCCCACCTCACAAGATACTGAACACCTGGCAGCATATTTTCTTGGCACACAGTAAGTGCTCAGAGAAAGGTGCCTGCTGTTAATAACCAGCACACTGATGACAGAATATTAGCAAGTATGATATTCACTTTTATTACTGGGGCCGTTATAATACTAGATGACAATGTGCTATTATATACTATTTGTTAGCCAGTGGTGACAAGGATGGGCCCGAGATCCAAGTTGCTTTCTTAGTTCCTTAAACGAGACTTTGCTCACTATTGAAGTTTTTGTGCTGGGGAATGGGCCTGCGATAGGGTTGGGGGCACCCATTGCCCTGCAGCCCCTTTGAGGTCAGACTGGCCTGTCACCTACCACCCAGGGCTTGCTGCAGAAGTTGTAGACAGAGTAGAGGGAGTTGACCGAAGGCAGTCCTCCATACTGGAGACCGATGACCAGGCTGCGGTAGTCTTCGCCTAGGGCCATGCTGTAAGCGTGCTGACGCACCAGGATGAAGTCTGGCTTGAAGGATCTGCCAACAGAGGGGTAGACAGCAGCGTTACAAACCACACTGAGCGCTGTCCAACATGGGGGGGCGGGGAAGGGTAGGTACAAGAATGAGGTGGATCAGATGCAAATTACAGCTGTTCTTGTCGTTTGGTACCCTCATGTTGATTTCAATACACAGTGATCCCGTGTGACAAACCAGAGTTGCTCCCAAAGGGTTTTCTTGGTTATCACCTTCATGGGAGCAGATGGCTAGGTCTTTTTCCCAAGGAGCCTCTGGGTGGGTTCAAACTACCAACCTTTTCATTAGCAGCGGAACCACCAGGTTCTCCTTAAATTATAGCGAAACCAGATTAACCAAGGGTGTTGCCATCCGGTCAATTCTAACCCACAGTGATCCTATAGAACAAAGTAGAACGACCTCATAGCGTGTCCTAAACTGTCATCTTTATAGTTGCAGACCACAAGGTCTTTCTCCTGCAGAGCCATGTGGGGGATGGGGGGGTTTCAAACAGCCAACCTTCCAGTTAGCATCCAAGTGCTTAAGCAGTGAGCTACCAGGATTCCTTAAGATTACAGCTATTCACTCACAAAGTAAAAAGACCAAAAACACCTTATGCTTCGTTCTGTGCTCATTTTTGCTAGCTGTTTGCTAAATTTTCTTGACATT